TCCAAGGGGACACAGACCGTGGCTGGGGACACTGCGGGGGAGGGGGCAGGAGGGGAAGCCAAGGGCGGCTGCAGTGGGTGCCCCGCTCTGTGTCCCCACCCCCTGCTTGGGGAATCCCCCCTCGTGTCCCTGGGTCCCCTGTGTCCTCTGTGCCCATGTCCCCATGTCCCCCCCTGTGCCCCCTGTCCCCACTCATGGGCCCGTCCCAGGTGTAGCCCAGGTACTGCAGCCACCCCCATGTCCCTGTGTCCCCCTATGTTCCCTCTGTCCCCTATGGGGACAGCATGGGGACACATGGGGACAGCAGGAGAACACCATGGGGACATGGGGTACAGCCCTGGGGACACGTGGGGACATCGTGGGGACACATGGGGACATGGGGCACAGCCCTGGGAACAGGGTAGGGAATGTGAACAGGGGGGTTCAGCCCTAAGAACAGGGCAGGGGGACAGGAGGGACACTATAGGGACACTGAGGGGACACTGAGGGGACACTGAGGGGACACTGAGGAGACACTGTGGGAACACTGTAGGGACGATGTAGAGACAGTGTGAGGGCAGGGGATTCACTATGGGGATTCACTATGGGGACAGGACATGGTGGTCACAGGGGGAATACTGTGGGGACATCCTGGGGACATCATGGACACTGTGGGGACACTGTGGGAAGACTGTGGGGACAGGGGGAATACCATGAGGACACCGTGGGGACAGGGGGAACACTGGAGGGACACTGCAGGGACAGGGGGAACATCATGGGGACATCATGGGGAACATCATGGGGACACTGTAGGGACAGGGGGAACACCATGGGGATAGGCGGAACAGCGTGGGGACACCGTGGGGACAGGGGGAACACCATGGGGATATCATGGGGGCAGAGGGATCACCATGGGGACATCGTGGGGATAGGGGGGACACCGTGGGGACATTGTGGGGATCGGGGGGACACTGGAGGGACAGGGGAACACCATGGGGACACCGTGGGAACACCATGGGGACAGAGAGAACAGTGTGGGGACACCATGGGGACACTGTGGGGACAGAGGGAACACCGTGGGGATATCATGGGGACACCGAGGGGACAGAGGGAACACCATGGGGACGCCATGGGGACACCGAGGGGACAGGGGGGACGCCATGGGGATATCATGGGGACAGAGGGGACAGCACGAGGACAGCGCGGCCGCACCCTTGGCGAGCACGAAGCGCTCGAGCAGCGCCAGCACCGGCGTGGCCAGCGCGGCCTCCAGGAAGCGCTGCTGCTCCCGCAGCTCCGCCGGCGGCTCCGCCTCCGCCCGGCCCGGCCGCGGCTCGTAATTGTCCAGGAGGGCGAGGAGCGCCGAGAACGTGGGAACGGCCAGCAGCTCCGGGGACACGCGCGAAAACAGCCTGGGAATGAGCGGGGCGGGCGTGGGACTGGGATTGGGATTGGGATTGGGATTGGGATTGGGATGGGATTAAGGGGAACTGGGGTTGGGGTTAGGGTTGGGACCGAAGTGGGTTTGGATTGGGATTAGGATTGGATTGGAAATTAACTGGGGTTGGGATTGAGGCAGGATTGGGATTGGGGTTGGGATGGGATTGGGATTAGGGGATTGGAGAGGACTGGGATTGGGGGGGATTGGGGTGGGATGGGACTGGGGTAGGATTCGGGGGGATGGGGGGATTTGGATTGGATTGGGGTTAGAATTGGGATGGGGTTGGGACTGGGACTGGAATTGAGATTGGAAGGGGATTTGGGTTGGGATGGAGGGCAGGGATGGCGACAGCTGGGATCGAGGGGTGAGGACAGAGCCAGGGGGGTTGGGACAAGGGACAGAATGGAGCCGGGTGGGATGGGGAGAGCCAGAGGGGCAGAGGGGGGGCATGAGGGGGAACACGGGGGCGCTGAGACCCCCACCCTGTCCCCATCCCTGTCCCCCCCTGTCCCCCCCGTCCCCTCCTGTCCCCACCTGTCGCTGCCCGAGCCCTGCAGGTTCAGTTCCAGCTGGCCCGGCCCGGCCCGGTTCGAGTCCGCGGCGAGCAGCTGCTCCGAGAGCTCCCGGAGCTCCGCGTCCGACACGGCCCGGGGCTCCGGTACCGCCCGGGGCTCTGGAACCTCCCGGGGCTCCGGTACCGCCCGGGGAGGTTCCGGCACCTCCCGGGGCCCAGGGGGAACGCCCCCGGTACCGGTACCGGTGCCGGTGACCAGCAGCAGCCACAGCAGCCACGGAGCCATCGCGGCGCCCCCCGGGCCCGCTGTCGCTTATAGCCACCCCTATCGCTGTCGCGATAACGCGCCAAGGTCGCGACGTGACCTCGACAGACCCCGGGGGGGCCACCCGACCCCCCCCCGGGGGGGCTGCACCCCCAATTCCCCTGTTTGGGACCCCCAGGGGCGGTTTGGGGACTCGCCCCCCTAAAATTTGACCCCTCCCGTGGTTTGGGGACCCCAAATCCGCCTCCCCACGGGGGTGGGGACCCCCAAACCCGCCCCCCCGCCCTGCCCGGGGCTGTTTAATGTTTAAGGGACCAAATGTGGCCCCTCAAGGACTTCCCAGGAGGGCGCGGCCCCTCCGCCCTTGGGGGGCTCTGGGGGGCTCTGGGGTTCGGCGGAGCCGGGATTTGTGCGGCCGGGGGGGGTTGGGGGAGGGGCGAGATTTAGGGGGCGGAGCATAGGACAGAAATAGTCCCGCCCCCTGCCAGGAGGCGCCGCCCTGCCTGAGGGACGTCGCGCGCATGCGCAGTACAGAGATGGCGTATGAGGATGTGGGCGTGGCCATATCTATATACGGATAAGGGGCGGGGCCTAAAGGCGAGCAGAGGGCGGGGCTCAAGGGCGTGGCTATGGGGCCACAGGGCGGGGCGGGAGATTCTGCGCAGGCGCAGTGCGGGCGGGCGCGCGCGGGGCGCGGGGCCGTGGTTTAAAGGGGCCGCGGCGCGGGGAGCCCGGAACCCCCCGGGACCCCCGGGACCTTCCGGGACCCCCGAGCCCCCCGGCACCCCTCGGCACGCCCCGGGACCCCCGGGAGCTCCCCGAGCCCGCCATGGTCTGCGGAGGCTTCGCCTGTTCGCGCAACGCGCTCTGCGCCCTCAACGTGGTTTATGTGGTGAGCGGGGGGGGCCGTGAGGGGAATGGGGACCCCTCAGGGCTGAGGGGGCCGTGAGGGGAATGGGGACTCCTCTGCTCTGGAGGGGATGGGAGGGGTCTGGGGACCCCTCAGCTCTGGGGGGACCGTGAGGGGATTTGGGGCACACAGTCCCGGTTCGGGGGACACGGTCCCGGTTTGGGGGGCACAGTCCTGCTTCAGGGAGGCACGGTCCCGGTTCCGGGGCACAGTCCCGGTTCGGGGGACACGGTCCCGGTTCGGGGATGAGGGGCGGGCTCAGTCCCGTTTTGAGGGGCACGGTCCCGATTCAGGGGCACGAATAATCTTTGAGGGGGGGGCCCATAGGGGTCCCCCAGCCCCGGGAGGGGCACAAAGGGATTTGGGGGGGCCCTGTGGTGGTGGCGGGTGGTCCTGATGGGCACTGAGGGGTCTGGGAGGGTCCCATTGCAGTGGGGGGTGGGCACTGGATGGGTACACGGGGCAGGACCCCCCCACAGCGACCCCCCCTCCTCCCAAACTGGGAGCTGCCCCTCCCCCATCCACTCCCCCCTTGGGGGCTGGGAGGGGGGGGTCACAACCTCCCCAAATCCAGCAGGGCCCCCCCATCCCAGCACCCCTCAACTGGTCTGTACTGGTTTACACCATGACTGGCACCCGTGACCCCCCCCAGTGTGTGCCGCCCCCAGACCCAGTGGGGGGGAGCAGGGGGACACTCCCCCCCCTGCTGTCACCACGGGGGTGTCACCGTGTCCCCTCCCAATAAACACACGACACTGACCTCGGCTCGGGCTCATTCTGGGGTGCCCCCCCGGGAGCAGTGACCCCCCCGGTGACACAGGACATGCAGTGGGGGGGGCACTGCCCCCACCCCTTTATTGGCAGGAAAATGGGGAACCCCAAAAACTGCCCCCCCCCCCAAATCCAGCCCCTGGGGGGGGTTCAGGGTGTTTGGGGCGGGGACACCCCTCAGTGCCCCCCTCAAGCACCAGTGGGAGGGGTCCGGGGGGGGTTTTGGGGGGGTGTCACCCCACAATTGCACCGCACAGGTGGGAGAGTCCTGGGGATGTTTGGGAGGGGTTTTTTTTTGGGGGGGGGTCACCCCTCACGCCCACCCCGCAGGTGGGGCTGAAGGCCAGCAGTGCCTGGGGCAGGGGACAGGGACATGGGGGGTGGCACTGCTGTGACCCCTCCCCAGCGGGGTGCAGGGCTTGGGGGGCGATGGGGAGGTGCCATCCTGTGCCCCCCAGGTGTCCCCGAGGGCCACACTCACACAGAGCATCCCTGTGCCCCCCCTGTGCCCCCAGAGTGTCCCCAGTGCCAACCTGTGTGTGCCCCCAGAGTGTCCCACCAAAGTGTCCCCAGTGCCAGCCCATGTGTGCCCTCCCCTGATGCCCCCACATGTCCCCAAGTGTCCCCTGTGCCAGCCCATGTGCCCCCACCTGTGTCCCCTCCCCTGGTGACCCCATCCCTGTTCTGGTACCCCAAAACTGTTCCAGGACCCTCATCCCCCCCCGGCACCCCCATCCCTCCCTTGGCACCCCCATCCCTCCCCTGGCACCCTGTCCCTGCCCTGGGACCCCAAAACTGTTCCAGGACCCCCATCCCTGCCCTGGCACCCTGTCCCAGGTGCCCCAGGGTACCCCGCTGTCACCAGCCGATGTTGGGGTGCCCGAGGTGTCCGAGCAGAGCCGCCTCCCGCAGGTGCTGGGGGGCACCCCGGCCCCCCACAGCAAGTGGCGGCATCTGGGGGGCCCGAACCCCGCAGGGAGAGCCTGGCACCCCCAGCTCCAGTGCCCCCCCCGGCTCGGGGCATCCCAGTGCCCCCGGGGCGTGTCCCCCCCCCACGCCCACCCGGGGGGGTCACGGGGGGGAGGGGCTGAGTCACGGGGTGGGGGAGGGGAGGTGAGATCCCAAAATCGCTTTATTGGCAAATAAATAAACCCCAACCCCCCCCCGGGGGACACTGCAGGGATGGGGACACCGTGGGGACAAGGCCACCTCCAGGGAGTCACGGCCACCACCCAGGCTGAGGCTCCCACAGGGTTGGGGACACCATGGGGACAAGGCCAGCACAGGGCGTGTGACACTACTGGAGCGCCATGGGGTGGGGGCTACTGCCACCACGGCCAATGTCACCGAGGGGTCAGGGCCACCTCTGGGCTGGGGTCACCACAGTGCTGGAGTCACCCACAGGGTCAGGGCCACCACGAGGTCCAGGGCTGCGATGACACTGGGGACACTGCAGTGTCAAGGCCACCCCTGGGGTCAGTGCCATTCCTGGTGGTGAAGTCACCACTGCGGTCAAGGTCTCTGCACTGTCCCCAATGTCACCAGTGTCCCCTTGTCTCCAGAGTCTCTGGTGTCCTCACTGTCCTCAGTGTCCCTGGTGTTCCTGGTGTTCCCAGTGTCTCCTTGTCTCTGGAATCTCTGGTGTCCCCAGTGTCCTCATGTCTCCAGTGTCTGTAGTGTCCTCAGTGTCCCTGGTGTCCCCATGTAGCTCCAGCACCTCTGGTGTCCCCAGTGTCCTGGGTGTCCCCAGTCCCCTTGTCTCCAGAGTCTCTGGTGTCCCCATGTCCCCACCATGTCCCCATGTCCCCGCTGTCACCGCTCCAGGAAGCGCAGGCTGATGGGGGCGCCGGGGGCCAGCAGGGTGCGGGTCATGGGGCGCACGCGGCCCCCCCCGGGCTCCGGCCGCACCTCAAAGCGCAGCAGGATCTGTGGGAGCAGGGACGGGTGAGTGACACCGTGGGGACACCGTGGGGACACCGTGGGGACACAGGGACACCCACCTGTGCCAGCGCCATGTGCAGCTGCAGCTCGGCCAGGCGGCGCCCGACGCAGCTGCGCGGGCCGAGGCCGAAGGGCAGAGAGGCAAAGGGGTGCCTGGGGCCGGGGGGGTCCCCGGGGGTGTCCCCAGCGGTGTCCCCAGCGGTTTCCCCAGTGTCCCCAGCAGTGTTCCCGGTGTCCCTGTGGCGCAGCCAGCGCTCCGGGCGGAAGGCGTTGGGCGCCGGGAAGAAGCGGCTGTCACGGGACGTGGCGTAATGGCACAGGGTGATGAGGGTCTGCAGGGACACGGGGTCAGGGGGGACATCCTGGGGACACCTTGGGGACACCCTGGGGACACTGGGACCCCTGGGGTGTGGGGTGTCCCCCTGGCTCACCTGGCGTGGCACCAGGTAGTCGCCGACGCGGATGTCGCACTCGGGGATGACGCGGGCGTTGGCCGGGATGACGGGGTACAGCCTGCAGGGGGGACAGCCGGTGTCACCTCCCTGTCCCTGTCCCCATCCCTGACCTCGGCCTGTCCCCACCTTCATCCTCATCCTCGTCTTCATCCCTGCCTTGTCCCATCCTCATCCTTGCCGTGTCCTGGTCTTCACCTCCATCCTCATCCTTGTCCCCATTTTGTCCCCAAACCCATCCTGTCCCATCCCCGTCCCTGTCCCCATCTTTATCCACATCCTTGTCCCGTTCCCATCCATGTCCCTCACCCCTGGCCATGTCCCCATCCCCATGTCCCTGTGTCCTCATTTCTGTGTCCCCATGTCCCTGTGTCCCTCTGTGTTCCTGTCCCCATCTCCCAATCCTTCTCCCCATGTCACCATGTCCCACGTCCTTTCCCTGTCCCATCACTGTCCCCCTGTCCCCATCCCCATGTCCCTGTGTCCCCATCCCTGTGTCTCTCTGTCCCTGTCCCCATCTCCCAATCCCTCTCCCCCTGTCCCCATCCCCATTGTCCCCATGTCCCCACCCCCATGTCCCTGTCACCTCAGGGTCTCCTTCACCACAGCACGCAGCAGTGGCAGCCGTCCCAGCGCAGCGGCGGTGGCAGCAGCGGTGGCACCGTCGGTGGTGGCACTGTCACCGCTGGTGGCCCCGCTGGTGGCGGTGGCAGCCACCAGCTGGCGGTGCAGGGCCGCCTGTGCCCCCGGGTTCTGTGCCAGCTCGTACAGGCTCCAGGCCAGCGTGCTGGCCACCTGGGGACACACGGTGACATCAGCGGGACCCAGAGTGACAGCAGGGACACGCCAGCGTCACCCCCTCACCGTGTCCACCCCGGCCAGCAGCAGCTCGGTGACGTTCCCGTAGATGCTGGCGACAGGGACGTGCTCCCGGGCCAGCAGGTCGGTGACACACGTGTCCCCCTCGGCCAGCGGCCCCCGCGCTGCCACCTCGGCCACACGCCGGTCCACGTGTCCCTTGGCTGGGGACAATGACAGCCATCAGTGCCACTGTGGCCGTGCATTGTCACCGAGTCCCTGTCAGTGTCACCACGGCCATGCAGCATCAGCGTGTCCCTTGGGACATGGCAGGGGACTGTCACGGTCATGGGACATCCCTGTGACCCCACGGGGTGTCTCGGTGTCCTTTGGATGTCCCCATGTCCCCTCTGTCCCCTCACCACGGCCCTGGGATGACCCCCTGTGTCCCCATGTCCCCTCATCTGAAGGTGAACAGGAGTGTCCCCACGTCCCCATGGCTGGGGACATCCCCATGTCCTTCTGGGATGTCCCAGTGTCCCCATACAATGTCCTGGTGTCCCCATGGGATGGCCCATGTCCCCATGGGAGGTCACCATGGTGTCCCCATATCCCCACTATCCCCATGTCCCTGTGAGATGGCCCATGTCCCCATGGGAGGTCACCATGGTGTCCCCATGTCCCCAGTGTCCCTGTGGGATGGCCCATGTCCCCATGGGAGGTCACCATGGTGTCCCCATGTCCCCCTGTCCCTCACCGAAGGCGAAGAGCTGGTCCCAGGCGTGGCAGAAGGCGTCCCAGGGCGCGGGGACGAGGCGCAGGAGGGGACGTGGCAGCGCCATTGTCACCAGCGTCAGCGCCAGCACCGTCCCCACGCTCCGGAGCACGGCCTCGGTGGCCGCAGGGGCGTCCCCGGTGTCCCCAGTGTCCCCCAGGCAGCCCAGGCGGGAGGAGAACAGCACCCAGGAGATGGCTGTGGGACAGGGGGACAATGGGACATGGGGACATCATGGGGACATAGGGACATGTGGACACTGGGGATATGGGGACACGGGGACACTGGGAACACAGGGACACTGAGACATGGGAACATGGGGACATTGGGACATGGGGACACTGGGGATTTGGGGACACGGGGAGCGCTGGCAGGGTATTGGGGACCCCGGGGGGTGGCAGGAGACCTGGGGTGCCCATGGGGGGTACGGGGGTCCCTCTGGGGGTCCCAGCCCTTTGGGGTTCCCCATCCCAGTTTCAGGGTTCCACATCCCTTTTGGGATGCCCAAACCCCCTTTTGGTGTTCCCCATCCTCCTTTGGGGTTCCCCATCCCCGTTTAAGGTTCCCCATCCGTTTCGGGGTTCCCCCTCCCCTTTCGGGGTGCCCCCTCCCTTTGGGGGATCCCTCTTGGGGTTCCCCATCCCCTTTAGGATGCCCAAACCCCCTTTTCGAGGTGCCCCCTCCCCTTTTCGGGGTTCCCCCCCCCTTGGGGTGCCCCTCACCCTCGAGGCCGAAGCGGTTGAACTCGGTGCCGATGTCGCGGACGATGCCCCGCGGGTGTCGCCGCCGCAGCCGCTGCAGCCGCGCCACCAGCTCGGCCACGGCCGCGGCCACCGGGCCCGCGAAGGCCTCGGCGGCCCCCGGGCGGAGCAGCCCCCGCGCCAGCACCCGCCGCGACCCCCGCCACGCCTCGCCCTCCCTGGGGACGGGACAGCGTCACGGGACAGAGGGAAGGGGGACATGAGGACATGGCTGGGGGACAAGGGACATGGCAGAGGACAAGATATAAGAGACAAGGGACATGGCACAGGACAGGGACAGGGGGACAGGGGACACGGCGCAGCAGAAGACACAGGGGAGACAGGGGACATGGCTGGGGTATGGGGACACAGGTGACACCGGACACAGAGGGGACACAGGGACATCGGAACATGTGGGAAGAGGGGGACAGGGACACGGGGGATGTGGATGGGGACATGGGGGACACAGATGGGGACAGGGGTGAAGGACAGGGACGTGGCAGGGACAGAGAACACACAGGGATGTGGGACACAGTGACAGGCAGGGACACGGGGAGGGACAAGGACACGGGGGAACATGGGGACAGGACACATGTGGGGTCAGGGACACACAGGGTGAGGGACAGGGGACTTGAGTGGGGACACGGGCAGGGCACGGGGAAGTGAGGGGCAGGGTATGGGGACACAGGGGACACGGGGGACACAGGGGACACGGGGGACACACAAGGGACATGGGGGATACAAATGGGACACAGGGGACACGGGGGATGCAGGTGGGACACAGAGGGGACACAGAGGGGACAGTCCCCCCGTGGGGCACTGCCAGGTGTGATCAGGGCACCTGTGAGAGCCACCAGGTGCACCTGTTGGGGACAGCTGGGGACAGCTTTGGGGTTTGGGGTCCCTCCCCCGGCCCACGCGGGGCCGGGCCCCCCCACTCACAGGGTCAGGAGCCCCCCCGGGACCCCCCGCAGGTCCCGGTGCTGCTTCCAGGGGCAGCTGAGGGCGCGCCGGGGCTCGGGGCCCTCCTGCCGCAGCACCTGGGCCACGAGCGCGGGCTCGGCCACGTGAACCGTGAGCACCGGGCCGAAGCGGGCCCGCCACACCGGGCCGAACCGGGACAGGCCGTGGACCTGCGGGGACACGGGGAGGGTCACATCAGAACCGGGGGGGGACACGGGGGGTCGCACCGGGCTGAACCGGGACCGGCCCGAACCGAGAACCGGGCACGGACCGGCGGGGGGAGGGGGGCGACACGGGGAGTCCCGAACCGAGACCGGGACCGGGCTGAGCTGGGACCGGCACCAGGCGGGGGTGAGGGGGGATCGGTGTCACCGGCGGTCACACCGGGGGTCACGCGGTGCCGGGGCTGCCGCAGGGCACGCGGGGCGGGACAGGAGCAGGGCAGGTCCCGGCGTCCCTGCGCTCCCGGACCTGCCGTGACCCCCCGGGGGTGACCTGGCCTCGGTGCCACTGCCAGACTGGGGGTGGCCCTGTCCCTGTCCCTCTGTGTCCCCCGCCCCGGGGTGACCCCGTCCCCGCTGCCGCTGCTCCGGTCCCCCCGAGCCCGGGCTGCTCTGGCCGTGCCCAGCTCGGGGTCCCCCGACCCCACCCAGCCCCGGGGACAGCGATCCGTGTCCCGTGTCCCCCCCGGGGTGGGAGGACCGCGGTCCCTCCTGTCCCCTCCGAGCCTCGGGGTGGTGGCACTGAGGTCCCTCCAGCCAGGACGGTGACACCGGGGTCCCCATCTCCTCCAACCCCGCCCCAGGGGTCCCTCCAGGCTCCGGAGCAGCGGCAATGGAGCCTCCCCGCCTCCTCCAGCCCCGGCTCAGAGACCCCGGGGCTCGCAGAGCCCCCAGCCCCATTTAGAGACTCCAGGGTTCGTGAAGCCCCCAGCCCCATTTACACACCCCTGGGTTCCCGGAGCCCCCAGCCCCATTTACAGACCCCGGGGTCCCCGGAGCCCCCAGCCCCATTTACCTGCATCTCGTGCAGCTTCCGCACCCCTCCCCGGCACAGCAGCTCGAAGATGAAGGCGGCGGAGCTCGGCCCCGGCATCTCCGCCAGGCCCCGGGGCCGAGAGGGCTCCGGGGGGTCCCGGGCGGTGCGGGGCGGCGGAGAGGCAGCGGGGGGCACCGGGGGAGGCCGGGGGACCCCCGGCTCGGGCGGGGAGCGGGGCAGCAGGGCGACCCGGGCGGGCAGGCGCAGGCCGGGGGACATGGCGAGGCACCGGGGCTCGGGTGGCACGGGGGGGCACGCGGGGAGGGCAGCGGTGGCACCGGGGGATGCGGGAGGGCGGTGCTGGAGGCGGCGGGGACACCGGGGGGACACGGCAGGGCTCGGGGAGACACGGGGGGACCCTGCGGGGCTCGGGGGGGCGCGGGGCCGAGCCTCGACTGCGGGGGGGGCCCCGGGCCGGGGATTTATAGCGCCCACGTGCAGCCGGGCAGGCCCCGCCCCCTCCGCGGGAGCCACGCCCCTGGCCCCGCCCCATAACAACAAACTGGGCCTATACCCCGCCCCTTTGCCCTAAGCCACACCCCCCAGTTGAATTATTTGCATAATAGCTTTCCTCGGCCAATCAGCGCGCAGCGGGGGCGGCTCCGCGGCCCCGCCCCCAGGGCGCGCACACGCGAGGGCAGAACCGGGAGCGCGCACGGCCCCGAGCCCCCAAAACACCCCGGTGACCCCCAAACCCCAAAGCCTCAGTGACACCTCCGGAACACCAAATCCCCCGGTGACACTCCCAGAACCCCCCGGTGACACCCCCGACACCCCAAACTCCTCCCGGTGACACCAATCCCCCCCCCAGTGACATCCCCGACACCCCAAATCCCCCCGGTGACCCCCCCGGACCCCACACCGGCCGTGGCCCCCCGGGGGTGTTTTGGGGGTGCCGCTCCCAGCAGCTCCAGCCCGGGGAGGGGCCGGTCCCGGAGGGGCACACGCTGCTCCCCCCAACCCCCCCAGTACCGGATTCCCGGGAATTCCCGCCCGGCAGGACCGGAAAGCCCCCGGAGCGTGGGGGGAGCGGCACCGCCACCCCCGGGGGTTTCTGCGATGGGGAAACTGAGGCAGGAACCGGCGCCAGGCTCGGGGCTGGGGCCATTCCCGGCACCGGGACCCCCCCGCCCCCTCCCCGAGCAGCCTTGGGGACATTTTGTGACTTTATTACAAAAGGGGCGGTGGCACGGGGGGGTCACGGCGCCGGGGGGGGGTCGGGGCGGCGGCGGAACACGGCGGTGCAGGGGGGGCGCCCCGCCCGCCGCGCCCGCTGCCCCTCCTCGGTCACCGCCGGCAGCAGCGGCAGCAGCGGGTCCGCGGCCTGGGACACGGGACAGACAGCGGGACAACAGCGGGACAGCGGGACAGACACCGGGACAGACGCCGGGACAGCGGGACAGCGGAACAGACAGCGGGACAGTGGGGACACCGGGACGGACACCGGGACAGCAGGACAGACAGCGGGACAGCGGGACAGACAGCGGGACAGCGGGATAGACAGCGGGACACAGCGGGGACACGGCGGGGACAGCGTCAGGGCCAGCCCGAGGACAGCGGGCACCTCCCCAGTGAGCCCCACGCTGCCCCTGCAGTGAGAGCCCGCTGTGCCCCAGTGCCACCACAAACCCCGGTGCCACCCCCAGTGCCAAGAGAAACCCTCAGTGCCACCAGAAACCCCAATGTTACCCCATAACCCCAATGCCACCCCACACTCGCAGTATCCCCAGTTAGTCCCCCAGTGCCACTCCACAAACCCCAGTGCCACCCCCAGTACCCCCAATTCCCCCAGTACCCCCCAGTGTCCCCCAGTCCCACCCCATAACCTCCAAAGCCACCCCAAAACCCTCAGTACCCCCGTT